GGCAAGGGATAATTTCGGTTTCTACTTCCATTTTTCTGAGTCCAGTCACTAGCAAAAGAATAGAAACATGTAAAATCTAAAGTAAATGAATTGGTGGCATTTTTAGTTAGCATCTAATGGATTTTCCCCTGCAAAGAGTACATAAATACAAATTGTTCACAGCTTTACTCTCCCATTTAGCTTGTCGTTAAGAGAAATCTGTGAAAAAAAGTATGTTCCAAGGTGTGGAAATTTTTTCCTAAATACTAAATACCTCCCAGATTACTAAGTGATGGAGAAGATTGAAAATGTCTGTCAATGGAACTCTTGTGCTTCTGCTGAAGTCAATGACAAAACTTTAATTAACTGAAAGTCACCCAGTGGTTTAAAACTGGTAGTGCTGAGGTCATTCCCAAAGATAAATGCAATATAAAAGTCTTATTGAATAGAGGCAACTGTGTGTACATAAGTATATATTTGCAGTTTTGGTTTGTAATAATCATTCCTGGACTCAGAATTACACCTGCAGTGAGAGCTACAAGATCAACCTCTTGTAGACAGCAGAGATGGGCAGAACGGTAACTATCCAAATCACTGTAGCACTGAAAAGAAAATATAAAATGGGATGAACATCTAGATAAAAATATGCTGAAAGATAACAGAGCAAATTTTTTTATGCAATTCTAACTCCTTTTTTTTAAAAAAAAAAATGTTAAATGTATTTGCTTTAAGTCAGGAAAAATGAGGCATGGTTAAAGTTATTTAATGACTGGTGTAACTTCTGCTAGCAGTGTCTATAAAATTTGTAGCTCTGTAATTAGTGAGTTAGAAAAGTTTACTATTTCAGAAGTATCACTTTGGATGCGTAATTCCAGCTGGTTCTCACAGTCCTAAATAAGGTTCATGTGAGTTACTTCCTAAACAATTCTTGATAAATGATCAGTCCCATCTCTTGCTGCTTTTTCTGGGCTAACACCCTAATTGTCTCACACAGGAGATAATAAGATCAATCTAAAAACTTAGTTGAAATGTATCTATTTTGTGAGAGATGGTGCTGTAATAGGTGCCTGTAATAGGGGAAGGATGATGAGGTACCCTGAAGTGATTAGACATGCTGCAAGAGTGAATTTAATTTGGAAGATTGAGAGGTGTGGAGATAACCACTTTCTGCCTACACACTTTTACCACTGCTCAGTATAACTGAGGACTTATAAATACTTTATAAATTAAAGAAGTTAACCAGAGCACTCCCAAACTGCGAGAACCACCTACACCATTTGTACATTGTTCTATTAATAGCGGCTAAAACATTAGCTCCAGCAAACGTGGCATATATTAAAATGGAGCAGAATTGAGAAGATCAGAAGCTGGTGTTCTTTTCCAGGCAAATAACATGGATTTTGAGGGACTAGATACATTTCAGTTTTAGCACAACAGTAACTTCCTGGCTATCTCCAGGTCCCTGACTAGAATGACAGTGTTTTTAAAGAGACGTTGATGTACTTAACGACCAGATTCACTAAATCCCAACAGATAGACACCCCTCCCCAGCCTCTGTACGTTTCCTCAAGCTGCTGTGATGCTCTCGGGAAGGAAACTTTTTCAGCATTCACATTTGTGTAACAGACCCTGTGCTGGAATTAAGCTTCCTTTTACCTCCTAATTCTCCCCAAAGTAACTGAACCCATTATGTGATTAAATCCCCCCCTCTCACCCCCCAGCCCAGCACTTCTGCTTGCAACGTGCCTAGAAGCCTTACTTAATCTCACCTGCTAGCCAATTAAAAGCCTCTCAAAAATTCACACCTGTGCTAATTGTAGATTCACATCACTGCTTTGTAGTCATTAAGTCTATGAGCTAAAGTTTTTATGAGTGCAACTTATCTAGTTTATCAACAAAATGCTGGAAGGTTTACGTGCTAAAACAAGATAATCAGTATTCATGCTTCAAGATTTCAGCAGGGGTCAGAAAGGAATTATCTTGTCTTATGAAGCATTTCAAAATGGCTAATTATGTTTGTTCATAAAATTTGGTCCTAGACCAATTGAAATCAGAGGAAAAGCTTTTGAACTTTTAACTGTGAACAACTAATTTGGCTGCTGTGTTGATCGTTTTATTCTTCCGTAAAGACCAAAAAGATACACTTGGAAAATATACAAAACCTATAACATACAAGCTTCCATCTCCACGTTGCTTGCAAACGTTGGATACGTACCGTTGAGAGACGGTTGTTGACGAATCTGTATTTCCATGTATGTTTGTGTGCACAGATGCATATTCTCTAAGAGACACATGATTTTAAAGCAGTGGTCCTCTCAGCTCACAGAACCAAGTCAAGCTTGTTAAATATTATCTGTCCGCACACAGTTGCCAAACACATCTTGTAGATCCCAAATATACAGTATTCAAAGTCTAAAATACCCTGTTTTGCTAGATTTTTATTTTAATAAAAAGTTTCTTCACTCTTGCACAGCAGCAATCTCCTAGCAATAGAAAACCCATCTAGAACCTTAGACAGATGAGGACAAATGAAAACAGAGCAATGAGAGAGAAATACTTGTCGTTCAGCCAGGAACCTTTTTTTTTTTTTTTTCCTCCTAATGAATTCTTGCTCCCAATCCACCCAGAGTAAATCAACGGGCATACTACAGATGGATCAGCCGTGGTAAACATATACAGCTGCACATATCTGTTACACAGGTGCTTGGTTTTAGACTTGCTGGCTGGCCAAGAGCAGTCAGAGTTTTTGGCAAATGCCTGTAGTTCCATGGGTTGGAAAAGAAAAGACAGTGAGAAAGTAGTCAGCTGGCACCAGCACTTTCCATAGCAGCCCCCAAGCCTGAGCCAAACCTGCTGGTCTCATTCCTCACCCCATATTCTGAATCGCTGTCAAATTCCTAAACTTATTTTGCAATTCAGTGGGAGGTTTTTTGGCTGGAGTTACTGGAACAGAGACACTGGGATACTTAGTACTTCTGTGTACAGTATTAAGCCCTTCAATTGTTGATCATTCTGGGGCAAAAGTGCTTGTGTGTGGGTTTTATGGCCTTTTTTTTATTCCCCCCCC